TTTCCCCGTTTATTTATTACTCGGGTGAAAGTTAATTTAAATTGAATTAGTTTACTAAGAGAAAGCACTTCATTGCTTGATGCTGGTGCCTATCCTTTAAACGGGACGACTCACTTAAGAATTCAGTAGAATAGTTAAATAAGGAAATAAGACTTTAAGTAATTTCGATTAATCAATGGAAGTGCTGATTAAAATTTAAGCGTGAAAGCTTGTATTACAAATTCGGCTGATAGTTCACAATTGATCTTATAGGTTTTATTACCACATCGCTCCTTTTACTCTATTTTTATTACAATGAGCGTTAGAGCGCGTTCCCATTATGTCATAAGGTTTTATTTATCGTTGGACGACTGTCGCGTCTAACCTGTTCCCATGTCACGACTGTCTATCGTGACTGTGTCGTAGACGTTTATTTTTCGTTGAACGACTGTCGTGTCTTGCTGTTCCTACTAGATCGTGACGGCAATTTATGTCGTGTTTATGTAGTTCATGGCATCCGCCTTGTCGTTTGCACGATAAAATCGTTTGAAGCTGCGATTATTTGTCGTGACATTTTTATCGTGACTGTCGTTCAAGCTCTTCTCATTGTCACGACAGTCAAAAAAGTCGTTAATCGACGAACGCTATTCAATCGTGTTGTTTTATGTGTGAACAACTACATTTAAGTATACAAGCCTCGACACTTTAGACCGCACGACTATCTGTCGTTACGACATTATGGGAACGCGCCCTTGAGGTTTGAGATATTTATTAATATTATGTTATAAACGAGAACCGTATGTTTGTTTACGTCATTTCAGAAACCACAAGCATAACCCAAGCTCAACATATATATAGAAGCTCACGTCCTTATTCGACAGAAGAGGTAGACACAGACCACGGAACGCCGCCTTACTCTATTCTGACATAACTTTCTAGCCTGACATACACGAACTACCATTTTTATAAAACTTCTTTATTCTTGTCACTTCGGATGACTGCTTTTTAAAGATATCACTGATCTGGTCAATGTAAGTCCTTCTGGGATGTCCTCTTAAAACGTTTCTATGTTTGCGTCATAAAACCCAAGTTCAAACAATAGTGTAAAAATCTTTTACTAGATTTTATTAGATGCTGAATCCAACCACATAACAAAGGTTATAATTTTGCCGATTGCAATGAAGTACTGAGAAAAACTGCTATTTACTAACTGGTGAACAAATAGAAATAGAAAATGGAACTGCTACTACAAGTAAAATCTTTAGCGAAAAATATCGCTGCGACGCTTCAACAATTTTCTACAAAACAAAAGAAACAAAGTTCCGACAAAGAACAAGGTAAAAGGCAAAAGTTCGGCGGCGGTCGTCAATAATGCTATTGTTCTGCAATCAAGTCACTCAGCAGCCAATTTGTTATACGTCGCGATGAGGTCAATATTGACAAATACTGTTCTTAGAGCATCTTTCCATATTTTTACTTCGATTTAAAACAGACGGTAACAACTCACAGTGTAGAATGTATGAAAAAAGGAGCGTGTCGAGCATTGTAAACACGAAACGTGTGAAACATGTTTTCTTATTAGGAGAATTAATGGAACATTCTTATTAAATTATCAATCCGAAGTTTCAAGAGGATCTGAGGGGCATTTCCATTGCGTCCGTCACCCTGAGATCTTACCGTTCAAAACTGGAACGTAGTAATGCTCACATCGATGCTTGGCAACAGAAATAGATAAGGCGGCAGTACTTCCGTGGACGAACTCTTTCACAAGGAGATGTACTACTACCAAAAGAAGTCTTCAACAGTATGTAACAATTGAGTACTTACATTTCGCGATTGTTATACATAGGAAATGAAACTATTTTTTTCCTGCTCTCAATCGCGTATACTTGTTTTTCAAACAAACCAATGCTTCCAGCCTTTTACGAGTCCCACAATCACGGCTGCCAGTTTGTCAGTTAGTTAGCCGTGACCATGGGACTTATAAAGGGCCAGTAACGTTGGTTTGTTTGAAAAAAGCAAGTATACCCGATTTAAATTTCTAAAAATAGTTTCATTTTCAGTATGTAACATAATATTATGTTTTAAGATCGTATAATATTAAAATCGTTGACTCTCGTTCAGATCCAAGTGACACAGCGTTATGCGTTCTAAATCTTTTACTGTATCTATAATGTTGCAAATGGCTTCGTCGCTTTACACACATGTATAACAATAATAGTCTAGTTTGGCGAACAGTTTGCCTTTATTAGAGGACGGGTTTCAATTGGAAACCCAGTACGGGCTGCACGTCCTATTACTTTTCGTCATTTGAACAGCATAGCTAACCACTCTCTTCGGACAAGACCCGTGCCAACACAAGAAAGTTGTATCATATATATAAACAGACCGCCAATCCAATTTACGATACTAAAAATATACTTCATCGAAATATCGAAAATTGAAAGAGGTTTTAACTTTGTGTAAATTTATCTTCTTACCAAGAACTTCCAGAAGTTCTTTATGGGTTTTTAAGTGTTCTTGAATTCATTTATTTCTGTGAAATCACTCCACTAGTTTGTTATAATTATTAATACAAAGATCGAAAACTTAGAAAGGTTCGTTCGATTCGGCTGGATTCGACCCAACTTGTTCCACGAAACTGTGCCAGACGCTATGCCAACTAAGCCACAGAACGAACTAGCGGATATTACGAATTTTTCAATGTGCAGATCTTTGTTCTTTTGTTTTCATGATAGGTTGTTATAGACATACTTATATAATATGTACTTGTCAAACAACATTGTTAAAAGTAGTATCATAGCCTTTAAAAAGCACTGCAACTGTTATGGATAGCTTGTTTGGCCCGTCCTTGATAAAATAAAAAAAACATAATAGGTAATATGTTCTTGTAAATGGTGGTGCAGTGCGTCAGGCATGTTTGCCGAGGCGCACACAGATGGCTTTCATGCACTGATGAGGAAAAAGATCGTCTCCCTCTTGACTCGTGTCAGAAAGAGTCCCAACAGCATCCTGAAAACGATTGCAGGCAGATTTGATTGCCCAATCCTATGGTATTGGATTGGGCAAATCAAATCGGTTCCTTTGTATATAAAATAAGGTTAGGTTAATTTGTGCTGTATGTACTAACAATAGTCTAAGTTTTAATTGTTTACTAACACTTTGTCTATGGGCATTTCATTGCCTGAAATAAAAGATTTTCATTCATTCATTCAAATGTACTAGGTAGCTAAAAAGTTGCATTTTTATCGAAGGTTGTTGAAAAAAACACGCACATCTCGAATTAATAGGAGAGAATGATGACGATGTTCAATAAACATTGCGTGGCAACAAGCTGTATCGTTAATATAATGCAAATATGTACATAATATATATAATAATAAGTACATAATTTACAAAATGAAATATTATTTTGGATAAGAATTTGGGAATATTCAAATCACATTACAGAGCATTGTAATAATATTGTGTTATAAGGGTCGAAACACAAAACTGCGAATCGGGAATAAGCGAGTTTTTGAGTGACGACCACATTTTGGCTAGTGTAGGACGCCCTCTGGCCAGAAGAAATGACGATCTGCGAAAGAAATACACATAGACAACCACAAATTACGCCCAAACTAGAGACCAGGAGAAATAAATATACGCCATACAAATATTTCTCCCGGCCCGGGAATCAACCCAGGACCTCTGCGTGGCAGTCCAGCATGGTAACCGTTCGGCCACGGAGGCAATTAAGAAGAATTATAAACTCTTTTTCCTTAATCACTTGAAGCCGGAACGTACATATAATTACGTAAATTTTAACACACTAGTTGGCGTACCAGGTCATTTGCGGCTAAAAGGCTGCCATGCCAGACACGGTTAATAAATGTGAGATAAGATTGCGCTACGGTCGACGTTTATATTCAAGTCACGACGACAATGTTCAAAAATAACAGCTCCTACATAATTATGTCCCAAATCCATCATAACATGCTTCATGTAGAAAAGTTACATGTATATATTTCATCAAAAATATAAATATAATTATTTTTTACTTTTCAGTTTTTAAATTCAAAAAGGTACCTAATAGTTTATCTTTTAACCCCGACGTAAAACGAGGAGAGTTATAAGTTTTAAATCTTTGTCTTTGTATCTGTCATAGCTCCAAAATTGACGAAGTGATTTCAAAGCGGCTGTTTTAATTAATCGTGGACATTTTATTTCACGAAATACTAACTAAACGAAACTAAAATGTTTCAAGGTGTAATCTCTACTTAATTAAGGATCTATCTCAGTTGTAAATTTTGCCAATATCTATGCTTTTATACCCATGTTTTAGTTGTTACTTCGACGTAACTTTCACTTGATTTGATATCTCTCGAGAAAGTTATAACGGAATAACGAAAATCCTTATTTTATTAAAGTTAACAGAAACCGCAATATCCCCTTAAGTACTAACGATAACGAATAAAGTACGTAGTTAGTATTCCAAGCATTTGGATTCAAATTAAAGACTGTCTTCACGTCATGCGAGTTCCGCGCCTAGATAAAACTTATCTAACCTGCCGGAAGTTCGCTCCTATTTAGCATATAAAATGACTCCGCGCACTAGTGTTGTTATGCCGAGGTGGTGTTATTTTCTTGCTGAAAATAACAATTTTACTCAGCGGTAATGTTACTTTTGCGCTGTGGTAAACATTAAAATGCAAATAACGAGCATGTGCAAAATCCCACTTCTCTTTTTGATGCACTTTGAGCACCTTGAAACTACATTTTCATGTATTCCTTTAGAACTCGGAAGCAGGACTTTAATCTCGATTACAGGGGTAATAGAAGTTTACGACTTTAAGTTCTTAAAATAAAAGGTAATTGTACGTTGAATTTATTTTCCTTTATTTTTATTACAAAGCCATTTTTATAAACAAGTACGTAGCTTCCTGTTAGAATTAATATAAAATGTTCAATTCAACTTATTAGTCTATTTACAGCAAGTATTTTATATTTCTACTGTGCTCTTTTTCTTACAGTGCTTATTTCTATTTTAAATATTTGCTATTTCTGCCACGGCCTCCAGGAGTCTGCTCGTCTTTTTCCAATAACTCCTCGTCTATAAGCAAATCAAAGTTTCCGAGTGCCTCCGCATTTGGCAACTTGTTCCAGCGCACATCTGGCACGCCGTCCGGCGGCAAAACTACAGAGAAGATATTGTCAATTAACTTGTATTTTAGTATTCTATCATTGACCGTTGTCGAAGTCAGCGAAGGGGAAGCGTTTACTTCAACTAGCCAAGGCTTCAGCTGATTATCTATAATTATATCGTACCCGTAACATTCGAAACAATGTCTATCGTTCGCCATAACCGATGCCACAGCTTTCAAGGAATGCACTATCAGCCAATGTATAGAAGCAAACAATTTCTCCGTAACTGTTCTTCCCTTGGTACCCTCCAAATACAACCGCAAATTCTCCACACTCATTTTCCCACCATGTATACTATTATAGTCTCCACCATGCTTCTGCACACTAACATTCGTTAAATGAACGTACATGTTATCCAACTCCGTAACGCTTGTATCGTATTTCACAGTGCAAAACCTACAAAAACCCAACTGGAATAAATACGCTTTCAGAGGACGGAAAGATGTGACTAGCACATATAAACGCAAATCGAACTTTTTGCCTCCTATTAGAAGAGGATTGTCGATGTACCTCGAAATGACGTAGCTTTCCTTGCTCAGCTGCGGGTGAAACGGCGTTTTCGCCTCCCGGGACCATTTTTTCAGCTTCGATAGTTTATTTATGAGGAAAATTCCGGTTCCTTGTGATTTTCCACATGGTTTCATGATCCACGTGCTCTGTGGTGACTTGCGGTATTCCTCCACAAACATATTGTAGTCAGCTGGAAGAACGAAGGTTACTGGCACAAAATCAAGATGTACATAACGTGTGACAACTTGACCACCATGTAAGATGACTTCTGCTTTCTCAGCTAAGGAACTACCTTCTCTCTCTAACTCCTTTCTGTATCTTTTAATATTCTTCACTAATAAATCTTTCCTAGAGAGCTCGTAATGGTTCGGGAAATGATTGATCATCTGGTTGTCATTCATTCTGTAACCACTTTCCACGCTGAACAGGTTCCTGCAAGTTTGCGTAGAAGCCCAGTAAAAGTTCCATTCATCATCAGGTCCAACTTGATTCCACCCTCGCCTTTCGAAGTTGCTCATCAGTACTGACTTCTCCATATCCGTGCAGAAATTAACCCTGCATCTTTCATTCGTCGGTATGTTGACTCTGCCGTACATGGCATTGGCAAGTTTTTTTGTTTCTGGATTCATTTTGGAATAATATTTGCATGAGGAGCGTTCAGTTTATTGAACAAATATTGGAGTCAGACAGATGCAAACCGTTGTCATGGCGCTTTGCAAATATCGCTCGTTATTGGCCGATTCCCAATCCGCTCGTTTCACTATGACTACGTGTAAACACAACGGGTATTGATTTTTAACGAGGTTTTTTAACATAACGTGATTTTGGAGCACTCAATACTGTTATATATTAATATATACGTACAATAGATGTTACAATCATTTTAATCACATTTATGGGCCCAGCAGGACTTGAAAATAATAGAGAGGTAGTTACTATATACCTATTCACGTAATCTGTATTTTATAATAGTATTTAAGACATATTACATAATTGTTATAATAAGTATTTATTACATGTACATTATAATGAAATATTTCAATAAAATTAATTTTCATATTCTATTTAATTTCAATATTTATTTATTCATTGATATGTTTAATATTATATTTAAGGCCTCCGTGGCCGAACGGTTACTACTACTACGCTGAGCTCCCTTTTTCTGTTATTAATAATTGTGTACTTTAGTATCATTTAAAGTAATATTGTAAAAAAAAATATGTAGTTGTAAGTAAAATAGAGGAGTAGCTATTTGGTGCAGCATGACACAGATCAGCATAAAAAGGTATATTTAACTTTTTTAAAGTTAAAAAACATTTTTTTTTGGGATTAGTAATTAACTCAGAAAGCAAATGTTTAATTAAAGTTACAGTGAAACTCATTAGTATTTCGACGAACAATTGCAGGAAAATTAAACACTAACGAATTGTTCCTCAAAGAACAATATAAAACATTGAGAATAACACAATTTGGGGGAAAATGAGATTTTAAATTGGACTACTGCGGGACAAGCTCATGTTGGTAAAAATGGGAACAAGAACATTATTAATACTATTTTGACGTTTTACGACAGAGTGCGATGTAATAACGCTATGAGACACGGAGGTTATAAAGGGTCTATTAAAATTTTAGGAGTCTAATCTACGAGTGAAGATTTTCTCTGCTCTTTCAGAGACAAGCGTGAGCGTGACATTTTAAACATATGTAAAAATTTATGCTTATGCCATTGGGTCACTAATAACACATAAATTCATAAGAAAACACCACTTTATAAATAATATTTTCAACGATACCACCAAAGTCAAACTAATATTAGAAATACGAAAGTAACTTACATTTTCACGCCTAAACCGCACAATCAATTTGGATAAATTTTAGTATAAAAATACACGAGACCTAGGAGAAAGTCATAGGCTACTTTTTGTCACAAAAATAAATCTTGAAGCGGGGTGAAAAAGGGGATGAAAGTTTGTATGTAGAACCAAAAAAATTGTGAAAATTAGTATAGGACAGTAGGCTACTCGAAGTGTACAAAGGAGGTGGTTCTCCATTAGACTGTATTTGTATGTATGTCACACGATAAGTCAAATAATTATTATATGATTATAGAGAAATTTGTGAACCGATTTTGATGATTCTTCTTTTATTGGAAAAAGGGTACCTCAGTAGTAATCCCATTTAAATTTAATAGTAGATTGTACAACAAGTGCATAAAACGCGTCGTGTTACCCGAGACGAGTATATCCACCCGACCTACAGGCGAGGGTGGATACTTAAGTCGAAGGTAAAATGGGTTTTATGAACGAGTTATACACTCTGCTTTTCACTTCGATTGCGAGGAAATTAAACAGCAATGTTACAAATAACCGACTATTTAATTAAAATTGAATGTAAAATTACAACAATTACACATATTTAATGTAATATGAGCGTAAAATCCCATTTTATGCAGCCTACACCCAGCATAAATACGAACTTTAAGAGCATGAGAAGTGAAAAAAAATATTCCACCTGTAAGGGTGACAAACTAGGGATGAATGACCTTTGAGGTCACTTTTTTTTAGTACTGTGTACTGATTACTTACGTAACACCGAGCGGGGCAAACGCTTTAATTATATAAGATAAACAACCTACGCTATACAACGCAATTGCACCTAGAGATTATGCCAATTATACCATATTAAAACTGTGAATGTAATATATGTATTATGGATGTCGTAGCCAGTAATGAGTACAAACACTAAACAAAGCGCAAGCGCACCACCTAGCGGTGTCGTATGCATATCTACGTTTCCCGCGCTTCGACAGAGCCGTGATATTGTTGGCAGGCACGATCGGACACACTTTTCGATCGGGTCGCCACGCAGTGAAGTAGTCGTCATTGTCCTACGTTTCACCTAGTGCCTAGTTTGATCGATAAAATTAATAAAAAATACAAGTTGTTATTCGATTTCATTTTCAAAGTAATCTCATTACACGATCCACACACACGGGTCTGCCCACACAATGCCTGAAGTTTCAGTTCTGAACTATGACATTTCTGACATGTACGTATTTATATTATAAGTTCCATATACACTATGTACACATTATATTACATTCATCCCGAAGCCAGAAGGGTTTGATAAAATAAAAGAATTATTTTCACTTCGCATACTGAATTGTACACGATTTAATAAATCCAGATTATGTCTTTTCAACCAAGCTTCCGGGAGACTTTCGAATTAATGAGATTTTTCATTCTGAACATATGCCATTATTATATTCATTTACAAGTGTAAAACGGTGAAAATGTGAACAAATTTCATTTTGTACGCATGAGCTATTTATGTATGACCTCAGTTACGTTGAGTTTTTATTGGACCTTTATTGTCTATTGTTTTTTGTTATAATACCAAATTACGGAACGAACAAGTCGTGCGCCTGGTGGTGAGCGACATGCCTGTCATAACAGTTGCAGTGCAACTTAAAGCTTTAAATCCCAAACATCTGAGAGACACTGCCACTGCGCCCATCCCATTACCCTGGGGCATTAAGTTGACAAGTCCTATGTACCTGTAATTTCACCAGCACTCTTACCCTCAGAACAGAAAAGCAATAATGCTCACACTGTGTGGCAATATTTCCCTGGACGAACTCTTTCACTGAAGGCTCTACTGCTACCAAAATTGTTCGTCACTGTGACAAATAATTGTGTAGATGTGAAATTTGAAGCTGTACGTACTCAAATTTAATAAAAAATAATCGCTATACATGTATCGACTAAGAACGTTACCCAACGTAGCTTTGACATATAGGAAAAGAAATGGATACAGCTATTGTGGTACGTCATTACGTAAAAAGCAACTAACTCAATTATACTGACCCTTACTAAAACCCCGCCGTACCTGCGTGGCATTAGGTACGTCATAATAAACGTTATTAAACGTAGTTTTCTCACCACGCTAGCAGTAAAAGGTTTTCCTTATAATAAACGGTACACATATACGCTTACAAGAACTACAGTACCGGTGTATGCAAGAGTACGCCGTGGGCTTGTAAGGCAACAACCTACCTTTTAAGACTGCAATAAAGTATGAATTCCTTCAAAAACCTAGCTATATTGTTCCGTTGCGTGGAGGTCAGGTTAATAAATTTATGCCACTAACATTCTGTCCATATTTCTCATGGATTACTTACTAACCATATAATATGACATAAACCACAATAAATGGTAAAAACCATACACGTGGAATGGTCTCTATATTTTTTCGAGAACAGAAAATCGTACACAAGCTCCGTTATTAAAGGTATGGGTCTGTAACATTTTGTTGTCAAAAAATAGATAAGAAAATTTCTCTACAAAACTACAATTTCAGTACGAAGACTAAAGCTAGTTATGCTTGCTTAGAATTAAATAGGTACTTATTACAACAAACACGATAACCACACCTCACTGAAGCTCAGCCGATTGTATACTCGTATATTGATAAATACAAACTGTCAATGTAGAAACTGATGACACTATTATTACATTAAAATATGTGATGGAACGCTAAACAATTTGTTTTGAAGATTATCAGAAATTCATTTGAGCTTTAATTGTACAATAATATATAACAATCTTATAGTGGCAGTAAATTACGAAGGTGCGAATTGGTGATCTTCAACCTAGGTCCTACGGGCACTTGTAGAGACCCGTTCCTCTGCCCACATTTCTTTCTTTCGAAAAGTCTAAAGAAAGAAAAATGGGTTTTAGAACTTCACGCGTTTTCCAGAAGTTGTCAACGTCCTTCGACATGGTTTCATTAAAATGTTTTTCTTCACCGTTATCAAGAAGTATTGCTACTATTGTGAATATTTTTCACAAATATACATACCGTCGGGGATAGTGCAACAACGCGTAACTAGCATTGAATTATAAATTTCCATTTCGGTAAATTAGTAGCCAAATCAAATACGCGTAACTATCGTGCCAAGCAAATTAGCGCGATTTACGGGAATCTATTGTTATCAGTCCGTAGATAACATAAATTAATGCTTACTGTGCAAAATTGAAAGTCGTAGCCATTGAAATAACAAAGTAATGACGTGGAATCATTCTCTTGTAAAATTTAGTTTAGCGCAGATATATGCCTTTTACCAATACCATATAGGAGGATTTTCAAGACTATAAGATACCTGACCCCCTAACCGGTTTTTTGGTTCTGAGTAGATCAGTACGAAAAAAGGTGTTAAGCAAAGTTAATCTTGAGCCATAAAATCATTTTGTTATGGCTTCCTTAGACACTTAAGAAACTTTTTATGTCAGTTTTATTTTTAATTACATTACATAAATACCAAGTTTAAAACAAAAAAAAATGACATTTATTTTTGCACAAAACATAAACAAATATAAACGAACATTTTTATCAAAAAAACAGTAATGTGGACAAAAAGGATGAAGACTCAGGATTGCTAATTTTCAGGCTTCACCTTAAAGCTATTCGCTTGCTGCATCAAACCGGCAAGCGGAGTGTATACTAAACACCAAACAATTAATAGAGGCTGTTTGTGTTGCAATATATGTAAAAATTTAACCAAAAAGTTGGATTTACTTTACACATTTCTGTTGAATGCGTAAGAAGGCTTCCAGAACCAAAACGTCGG